AAGTAGGATTCAATCGTGCAATTCCATTGTTCATTAACCGGAATGTATCCTCTTAAATACAATCCAATTAACCTTGCGCCGGTGCACAAGTGACACGAAGAAGCCTTCACTGGGTTCGAGGCAGCCAGTCGGTATTTAGAAGATCCATCCCAGATGTGACATTCCATGTATGATACTTGCGCTTGATAGAATTTTTGAACTGTCCTAGTGGAAAATACCTAACCTTGGACATATGAAGAGATGCAGCAAGTCCTCGCCGTATTTCTCAATGGTTGCACTCCAGAAAAAGGTCTCCTTTATACCATCCCCGGCAATAAACGTGTTCACGGCCACTGAGAAGGTTGTTGCCTTCTATGTATAGAGTCGGTTATTAATTAAGTACAGGATCCATAGTTTTGCTGAGTATTGAAAGTAACAGAGGTTGACTGGCACGTTTCAAGAGTCTTAAAAGAAATCATATCCCCAAGAGAGGGAATACCTACCGTGTGTTTCATACATACAAAAAAGGTACTTCATATCTCGACGATGTTCGCTGCGCGAGTAGAGTTACTGTACTGACTGTACTAAATTATTAAATTAAGTTAAGAAATCATAGGATGTGTACTTTGCGGTGGCAAAATCCCAGATGCCAATCATGATCCCGCTGGCCAGTACGTCCACGGGGATGAAGTCTGCGTAGCAGTTGCCGCGCCCGTACATCGACCGTAGCACGCCTTTACCAGCCGCTAGAACACACGCGTCGATCGAATCACAATTAAACATAGGCATTATTATGAATGCAAACGGAAGGTAATGATGAGAAACCTAATGTCGACTCCACACGCTTGCCAAACCATAGCAAAAGCACGCAAGTACAAACGTGTGGATGGTGTCTTGGTTTGGCTTACGCGAGCTTGCATGTTAATGGACATGCCGCATAATATTTAAAAAAAGATGACGCTGTCTTTATAGACATGGCTGTAAGGTTTTAAACCTTTGCCTTTTCCTTAGCGGAAGTAATTTAAGAACAACTATTAGAATATGGGAGAGATTGGCTCTGGGCATTTTGGAGGGAAAAGTGTCGTTTTTATTTTGACTTTCAATTATTTTGTGTAAATCTAGTTTAAAGTGGAATAGGATAGTGCTATTGCGACTTAATCGAAGATTAAAACGCGAAATTATACGAATCTCGAACTAAAGTACCCGTATCGGCCCGTTCTAAGGAATCCCGAGTCAATCCAAGCACGCTGCCTCAAATTGCCTATCCTCTTTGTGGCGGCCATATTTACAGAAACATAATTAAACGAAGACATGGCTCAAAGGACTTTTCCACAAAAACAACTGCTACGACAATAATAATTATCCTGAAGTCTCAAGAAGCAAGAAAATATTTATTTGGAAGAATTATCAAAAATTTGCAACTCAGTGGAAATTGCATATGGCCAAAGGCTGGACGCCATAGTGCCAAACTATAGGAAAAAAAATAAAAAATATAGGAGTGATAGCATTCGTGGTTATAAATTTGGATAATGGCTGATTGGCCAGATGAGGCTATTTTATTCTTTCTGGAGTGCTGATTTGGAATCCAAAGCATAAGGACCACAAAGACATAAAAATTAACATGCACGCTCGTTTTCTTTCATCTTGCTTATTTTTGTAATAAAAATAGGTCAAGCCGAACGTACTTAATAGCAGACAAATTCGACGTCCACCACACCTGCTTCTCTGGAGCGCACTAGTGTGGATGCTGACGTTTGGGGCTTGCGGCAAATGGCAAGCGTGTGGAGTCTATGCACGTAGGCGTGCTAGGACGCACGGATGACGCGTGTTAAAGCGATTCAAACGATATTCATTCGCAACCTGTAAACCTCTGCACACTTTTACGAATTCAGTGGCGCTGTTAACGCGCGATACAGACGACTGCTGGTGGCAGCCTGCTCTTTCTTCAACCTTGCAACCCAATGTTTTGTTGTTTATACAAACGACCTTCGAACGTTCTCAAATATTTATTATTTAATAAGTTTCTTTTTTTCTGCATTATTCGTACACTCTTTCATTTGTTTTTTTTTGGTCCAACCGATTCCTTCTAGTCTGCTCCAGCACCACATTTCAAAAGCTTCTAATCGTTCTATCTCTTTGTGTATGATCCACGTAGTAAACATGTTCTGACAAAAATTGTATTAGATCCATGCGAGCTGTATTTTACATACCAATAAGTAATCCGGTAGGTCCATTTATGTTGTCCGTCCAACCGGGAAGTGGATCAAAGAACACGGGAATAACTGTGGAGAACGCGCAATGTCAGTTCAAAGTTATATAGTCGGGGATAGTGCAAAACCGCGTATGTAGTATTAGTAAAAAGTGCGTATCTGTACCAAATGAAATTTCACAGGAGAGGGATTTAACGTTATTACTTTGTTATTTCAATGGCTACGACTTCCATTTTTGCACAGTAAGCATTAATTTATGTTGTTTACGGACTGATACCAATAGCTTCCCGTAATTTGGTTGCCACGACATTACGCGGATTTGATTAGGCCACTAAATTACCGTGTATATGTAGCTTCATCATATCAGCTGGAAGACGTACACAGCTGAACATAGGCCTCCCCAAAGATTTCCAGACCAGCCAATCGGACGCGACGTGTACCTACCCGCCGCCCTTACCAGGTCATCCGTCCATATAGTAGGGGGCCGTCTCACTGAACGCTTTCCGTTTCGTGGTCTCCATTAAAGAACCTTTCTGCCCCAACAGCCGTCAGTGCCACTGCCACTTCAACTTGCTTATCCTTTGATCTATGACGGTGACTTTCGTTCTTCTACGGATCTCCTCATTTCTGATTCGATCACGTAGAGAAATGTCGAGCATTGCTCGCTCCATTTTATGAGGCCCATAGTAAATGACCACGTCTCAGAGCCGTAGATCATCGCTGGCAACACGCACTGCTTAAAGACTTTTGTCTTCAAGGACTGTGGTATTGCGGACGAGAAGACGTCCCGGAGCTTCCTAAAAGCTGCCCAATCGAGTCGGATTCGACGATTGACGTCTTTCTCGAAGTTGGCTCTGCTTATTTGGACGGATTGTCCGAGGTAGATATACTCGTCAATAACTTCGTAGCTTACTTTAATGATAATAAATTAATCAAGGAATATTATTTATTTGTCTAAACTATTGTTTGCAAAATGGTATATATGACCTAGCGGTTTTTATTGAGGGCACTGGATGAGGAGGTTCCGGGTGCGATTACCGTAGGGACCAATTTGGAAAATGAACTTTTATACACTGGCTCTAGTTTGGGTGTTCCGGGTTGGGGTCTAGAGTGAATTCATTTGCTCTGATAATCATAGTAAAGGTTTCGTTTCAGACTAGGTAATTAATTTAAGCTATGTTTATTTATGTTTTTCTATAGTGTAAGTTTTTGAATTAAATTAAGTATTTAAAGCCTTGACTTACAAATAAATGGACGTCGGGTCCGCGGTAAAAAGTGTCCGAACTTATAGGGCGCTAAAAACGATTTTAACGCGTGACTAAAGCGTGAATGACGCTCTGTATACGAATACGGAGCGTCATTCACGCTTTAGTCTTCGTTTGTTCGACTGACAGCGAAGCAAGCAAAATTAGACAGTACTGCGATGACATTACAATTTAAATTCAACGTTTTAGCTTTTTCATATTCTTTTACACGTCACTACGTTTAAATAGGTTGATTTGAATAGAATACGTTTACAATACGATTAACATTTTTCAAATGGCTTTAACATTGTTTGTAATAAAATAAATTCTGAAATAAAGCCAGTGTCCCTGCCATTCGACCCATGCAAAATGAACCCTATTAGTACGGGAAAATGTGGATTCGGGCTGCGGTAGTATATATAGCTTTGCTTACAAAATTAAAGAATGAAATGGTGCCTGATAAAAGAGCGAAAATTGTATTTTAAGTAATTCTAAAAAAAGGAAGTATAGTGTAGTCTGACACGGTGTTCAGTCTCACCAATGGAAGGCCGGATGACGCCAACGGGCATTCCCTCCTGCATCGCTTGCACTACCAATTCTTCAGCTAACGCTTTTGAGAACACGTACGTGTTCGGGATGTATTTAGGGATTAACCTAAAAGAACAAGTAGTTAGGACAAGCAAATGTGTGAGTGAAGTGGTAGGATTAGTGATGGATACCTAACCCTAATTAATAAATTTCTTAAATTGTGTATTCTCTAGTGAGAATACGCCCACAATGATTTTATAAGAGTAAACGAAAGTATTGTATATATATGTATGATCATTACGTATACTTTTGATTTTCTTTATTGCATACTAAAACTTAAAAAAATTTCACCAGTTAAGTTAAATAAATTCAAATAAATATAGAATATAGACTCGAACGGCCGGCTGACAGCCTTGTTGTCGTTCCGTCAATGTGACCGTCAATGTAAGGGGCGCGGTGTGGCATCCAAAGCTAGGGAGGGGCGGAGAGAGCTTTTTAGATTGCCTTGCCGTATATTATAAATTACAAGTTATAGTGATAAACTACAAGTAACATCTTACAACAAACACACTGAGCTCCTGAATTAGGCGCGGAAATAATTGCTTGAAGTTATATAGACAAGGACCTTGTTATTTAAAAATTATTAGTTTGCCATGAATAATTCCTAAGAATATAGTTAGTTTAATCTTTTATATTGAGACTTGGTTTTATTGATCTAACATTTACTGATTTTTGTGAATAGGTACCTACTTATATGGGGATGCTTGTGATGTAGGATAGACGCCCTTTATCTTACCTTTGTTTTTAATAATAAATAACTACATATTGACTTCGCTTAAGCAGTCCGTCTAGTATGAAGGATTAGCGAATGCAGGTACCTTCGAGATATGATCTCCAGCGTTTCCTCGTCCAAGAGCTCAGCGGCTGCAATAACCTTGTGCGGATCGGCGGGAGGAGGGTATGGTTTTTCTTCAAGAAGCTCAACTTCCGGATGACAATACGCCGTGGATATGTGGCACATACCCTACGGTTCATAAGGAAAAACAGTGGTCACACTTTCGTATTGCCGTAGAACACATGCGGCACGCCTGCAGCGCGAACAACTCATGTCCTTGGTGCTTAGAGTGTATACAGATCTGGCTAATGCGCTGCACACGCGCTGCGCGCATTAAATAAATGTGGCGCGCGAACGGTATGCAATGCTCTTGTGTCAACAGGCGCATTTGCGATGCATTCCCCAGATCTGTACGCACCGTAAACGATACGCTTGTCCATAACGGTTATAGTGTCACTCAGTGTTTTAATCACATAGATCTGAGGGGATACAGCCACTGCACATGACACCTGAGACACAAGTTGACAAGTCCCATGCGCCTGTAATTCACCAACAACCGTACCCTTCAAAATTGGAACGCAGTAGCGCTCACGTTACTGCTTAGTAGTAGAAATAGGTAAGGTAGCAGTACTTTCCTGTGCGAACTTCCCCCACAAGGACTGCCACTACTGTGAGTTCCACAGATGTTGATGCGACATAGGTATCGCCTTTATTGGGCAATGTTTGTGTACAAGCAAACGAAGGTAATGGTTTGTCATAGCACAAGTTTTTTGCTGTAATCTTTACTGAGTTACGTAATAAATAATGGTATCCACTAACTTTTAAGTCATTGCACTGCCTGGCCAAATCCAACACAAGCTTTGTACCTCGAGTGTTATGCAGAATTGCCTTCTTCAGTGGATCATCAAATCTGTAAATATATTTAAAAAATAACGTCATGTCATGTAAGAATTGGAAAATATAGATGAATATGATATAGGCGAAAAACATGACGCGTCTCAACGCTTCGACTCTGCGCCAGTGTGAGTTAAGCCTTATGCGAGCGTCGTCGCGCGTCGCCTGGCGATGGAGTTGGAAAACAGGACGCAACGCGACGCTTCGCCTCTGCGACCAGTGTGAGTTGAGCCTAAGCGTAAGGTACCTGCTTGGGTAGGTACCGTTAAATACTTTTTTGATGACATCAAACTATTACGTCTATGCATCAAACATAGGGTCGGCAGACTAAAGGACATAAGTCAAAAAAGCGCTTTATTTTTAATCGACTCCAAAAAAAAGGATGACAATGAAATTACTCCGGCAATTTGTGAACCGATTTTGATTATTCTTTTTTTGTTGGAAAGAAATTTGTACCTCGAAGGGTGGCAAACTAGGAGTTGAATCTTTTCCACTTGAAGAATCTTCTCCACTTTCCGGTAACCGATTATTATTTTTTTAGTTTCAGTTTGTATGTACATAGCTCATATGTACACTTTCACACTGGTTTCATTAGTGGGTCCAGTAGGATTTTGATAGTACTCACTCCCACTATATAACATGCGTGGAACTATTAGGATTTGTGAACCCTTTTGTCGCCACTCCTGTTTTAAAGATACTAACCGTTTGTAATGTGATGTTTCAATTAAAATACTCTTAATATAAGTTTTCAAACTTAGGGAATAATAATCTTAATAATATGCTCCGGAATCTTATTGCAAAAACGTAACTAGTTCCCCATAAAAGAAACGTTTACTTTTCTATTATATTGAAATTGATGCCTTATACCTTGTGACCCCTGACTTTGTGAATAAAGTAGCTACTAATAATTGGTTTGTAGCACCGATAGACAATTTTTCGTTTTGAATAACAAACAATCCTTAATTTTGAAAAATAAATACATGAATACCTGACGCTAGCAGCGGTGTGAATGAAGACCTGCACGTGGCTAATGATATACTGGCGGTCGGCGGCGGAGAGCCCCAGATCTGGCAGCGACACGTCCCCGGTCACCACGCGGAACTTCTTTCGTATGGCCTTTTTACCTCGCAACGACACTACAGTATCGTATAACTAAGAACAAAATCATAACTAAGAAACCCTGTGTCACACACACATAGACAACCACAATTTACACCCAAACTCACGAAAGAAATAAATGTAGGTCATACAAATATTTCTTCCGGCCTGGGAATCAAACCCGGGACAGCGTGATAGTCCAGCGTGGTAACTGTTCGGCCATGGAAGCAGTTAAACAAATACTATATATATCATAACTAACAACCTCGAAGGTGGTGGCTGAAAATCAGTGCATTGCTTTTGGGAAAATTTGCACTAACCTACGACCTTTTTTTTTCAATATCAAGTGACCGGACGAACAAGTCGGGCACCTGATGGTAAGCGACACGCCTGTCCATAACAGTTGCAGTGCCACTCAGAACTTTAAATCTGAGACTGCCACTGTGCCCGTCACCCTGAGATATAAGTTGACAAGTCCCTTGTACCTGTAATTTCACCAGCACCCTTACCCTTCAAAATCGGAACGCAAGTAATGCTCAAAGTACTGCTTGGCGACAGAAATAGGTAAGGTGGCAGTACTTCCTTTGCTACTAAACCTTTTCCTCTACTTACCGGATTATTCAGAATACTGTCAAGTCTGTCTTCCGGAGCCATGCCTTTCTTCGTTCTTATCAACAGGACTATCTCTCGGATGTCAAAGTTTTTTCTGAAACAAACAGCAAATTTGGATGTCTGTAATAAACTTTTACCTATGCCAGCCTACTTATACAAACATTTTAATAATCTTTCACGGGAAGTGATAATTAGTTTTTAATCGATTCTGATAAGAAATACACTTTTTGAGTTAATACACTATCGTGTTAACTGTGCGATTATATAGACGGTATATTGCTGATGTGGCCTTTGGACGTTTTTCACAAACACTTTCTATGTTTCCGTGATGGATTCAATGTATGAAAATTCGAGAACTTACTATGTAGATTACAAGAATATACACTGTTATTCGTTCCTAATTATTACTCCAATAAGTTCCTTATTTATTTTTCGTTAAAAACCTGGGGTAGCCTATAGCTGCCCCATAACAAAACCTAGTAAATCCTTTAGACAAAATTTTATAGGAGAGCTCAAAAACACAAATCATGGTCGCACTTAAACTTTAATGTGAAAAAAGTAATAAATAGTATTAGGCAGGGTGCCAATCTACGAATATGCTGATGCCACAAAATTGAACACAAATTTAAGCAACTTTGTAAAGGCTAATAAGTTCAGTATAAGTAAAATTTCAGTATCCACTAATTGCCAATTCAAATACCTATACTCTAGCCAAATTCGATGTAGAATAAATGTCAACAAACAATAACATGTGATTTTTAGGGTTTTCATCTCAGACTCTTTCACAGTTACCATAATTTCAATATTTTCCTAAGAAATTCAACTAGATTATGGATAATACTAAAATCTTGAAGCCATATTTATAATGAATATTATTCAACAGAAGTTTCAAATCACCCAAAAATGACATAAAAATGATCAGTAATTAATTATTTGTAAAACTGTGTCATCCCTAGTGATTTTTTGGTTTGAAGGGAGAGATTGCAAACATTCGAGTTCTGGTGGTATTCAAGTTCAAAATCAGAAATAGATGCTGGATGATACAATATATAGGAAATTAATATCAAATAAAATCTAACAATTTTGTATCTTTTCATCTACTATTACCTACCATCTAGCAGTAAATATTAATAGGATGCAAAAACTTATATTTATTCCTAAATCATACGTATCAATAGGTATTTTGTAAACTTTATAATAATTGGCTAGGTAAGTATTACTTCTACATAACCCAATTACCTACTTACCTATTTAAATTCCAATTACGAGACCAGGCCATGAGCACAGTAACCCTTAATAATGAATATTTAAAAAAAAATGTTCTCTCCCTATGCTATCCTTGGTTGCTTAGCAAATGTTTTGTTATTAAATATTCTACATCGAATTTGGCTAGAGTTATAGTAAGGCATTTTTAGTATCGAAAGATTTCGTCCAGGGAAGTACTGCCACCTTACAGGAGACGTTGTCAAATGATAAAGAAATAAAAGGAGAAAAGGATAACCAAAGGATTATTACTTTGATTTAAGCTTTCACGATTTTTACACATTATTTGGTTTTTGTTCGGGACTTAATCACGTGTAAAAGATATTTTAATTACGTCGACGTCTCTCACGACACAACATGCTTTGGAATACACTTTGAATCTTAATTGTGTGGAATCTAGACTTATGTTGTCTTTCCATATATCTTTATCTAACACACACTCTTCAATTTTGTAATATGACTTTTCAACTAAATACTTTTAAGGTAAGTTTTAAACTTAGGAAACGATAATCTTAATATGAGCTCCGGTATCTTTTGTAAAAACGTAGGTATACGGTTCACCATAAAAGAATCGTTTACCGTGCTGTTCTAAAGTTAATATTATAGATATCTTCTTTCTTAATGAAAGTATGTATATTTTTACGGACATGGAAAATATTTGATGCTATGGAATACACTTTGAATCAAATTTGTGTGGATTCTGGAGACATAATGGAAACATAATGTATGCTCCAGAATCTTATTGTAAAAACGTATACAGTTCCCCATAAAAGAGTTGTTTACCTTAGTTAAACGAAATCGTGGTACCATGAGTTTGGACTTAGCTCTAAGGTTAATATTATGGATATCTTCTTTCTTATTGAAATTATGTATATTTTTACGGGCGTATAAAATATTTGAGCAAATGTACTGTGATGCCATAATCATGAAACCAGTCTCCTTAAACTTTTCTCTGAGAGAAACCCGAGAGCCTAAACGGTACATAGAACGAATCGCACGTTTTTGCGACACAAATATGCTTTGTATACCTGCCGCTTTACCCCACATGAGAATCCCGTAGGACATTATACTATGGAAGTAACTAAAGTAAACTAGTCTAGCAGTAGCAATATCGATAAGCTCACGTATTCTCCAGCAGAGCTTAATCTGCTGGCTAAGGGAGATATATGTGGAAACCATCGAAGTTTACAATCTAAGATCACTCTCAAAAAGGTCTAACTTTTCTCCATTTATTTCTATGATTGGACTAGACGATGTTACATTAGGTAATTCAAATTTAACACAATTTGTCTTCTTGGCATTAAATTGTTAGCATTAAACCAATAGACTACCTTTGAGAGGGTATCGTTAATATTGTCATAGTTAACGTCAGCAATGAATACTATTTCACAAAGGTCCTTAACAAAGAAAGGTAGATCATTAATATAAATGAGAAATAAAAGAGGTCCAAGTATTGAGCCCTGCGGAACACCCATTTTCAACGGAGAACCCAAAGAAGTCACTCCAAAATTAAAACAAAAAATAAAATAGTATAACAAAAAGTATGAAATAAAAATAAAATCATAATAATAGGTAATAGCAACAAAGCAAACATTTAAATAGTCAACTCAATTTTAATAAATGCCATGCGTGCGGCAGAGACGTGTGTAAAAGGATCCACTCAGTTAATGTCTCCGCCGAGAAAAGCTGTGACGCTGATTTTCAGCGGACCCTAGTGGTATTACATAATAATAATTCTAAAATATGTAAAACATTCATCCTGTTCATTGATAAAAATGATGTCAAACTTTCATAGTTACAAGTTTATGTATTATTTTTGTATTTATAAAACCACATCCCTTTTCCTTTCTATTCCAAAATCCGACACTTTCTGTTTTTTTTTGTATTCTTGCCATGCTATCCTAACTTTGACATTGGATAAATGTCCTACGCAACGCCATGATAAAAAAGAAAGTGTAATAAAATACTAATGTCATGTATGCCAGCTAAAATTACTCTATTTGGACAAGTAAACTAGCTGGTTAACATTATCACGAGTAAAGATAAAAAAACATCAATATGCTATATGTACAGGGTTTGTAAATGAGTTATTACATAGGTTTTAATTATTAACTTCGAAATTAAAATAACAGAGCGTTTACGATAATATAAACAAGGTTTATAAAGTTGCTAGTATAAATAAAAATGAAATTACAATTCCTCTACACTGTGTAGTAATAACACCAATAACACAAACTTATATCCCAGGGAAACCCTGTGTCACGGGTGCCATGGACACAAACTAGAACACCACAAATCACACCCTAACTCACGATAGTTAAAGTAGGATAATAATAATAAAAATCAAATTTCATTTTAATTATTAATACAAAGATATACCAACTAAGCCACGAAACGAACCAGCGGACCTCACGAATTTTCTATGCGGTTATTGTCGTATCTTTGCATTTGGTTTTTCAACGCTTTTTAGCCCTATCGCCATCTATGAGAAATCTATGATATTTCGTCACGTTGAATAGCGTCTGGCACGGTATGCTAGAAGACGTTAGTTCTAATTCAGCTGGATAGACGGAATTTTTCAGTGGAAAGGAATTTTTTGAGTGTTAGATCTTTGTATTAATAATTCTAACAAACTAGTGGAGTAATTTCACAAAAAATAATTGAATATCAATTCAATACAAATTAAAAGACAAATTTATATTTGAAAAAAGTCGACTTCAAAAGTTCGTGAAATTACATCTGTTTGCTGAGTTTTATTGAAATCGGTTGCCGGAAAGTGCGCGAAACCGGAGTCACCGCTATATTTATAAGGGTGGCCCTTAGAAGTGGAACATTTTCTTCAAATTTAAATGGGACCAATATTGAGGTACCCTCTTTCCAACAAAAAAGAATCATCAAAATCGGTTCACAAATGGCGCAGTAATTGCGTACAATACACACAAATACAGTCGAATTGGGAACCTGCTCCTTTTTTGAAGTCGGTTAAAACATTACACTACTACTTGTTTTTACGTATTACGTATGTGGATCATAGAACAATGACGCACGTACGGACAGTCGAGCCGGTTTTGTACCATGTTGTTAGTGAGGCCACAAAACCGCATTCCGTATCCATATCCAATTGGGTAGCCGCAGGTAGTAGCAGGTAATCGCAATTATGCGCCTCGACTCGGAAGAGACGCAGTTTCCAATCGGGAGAGGCAATCAAAATCAAGCTGCAGGGATGTGCATCATTTTCAGGTGTAGAAGCAATCAATACGTACCACCGCAAGCATCCCTGACGTGCTAATTTTAACATTGCTTATTAAATAACTGACCTCAAAAGTTTTCTTAGAGACCCCCCACACTAGCGTCTTTCGAGCATCAGCGTCTTGCCAACCCATGCACAGCATATACTCGACGTTCGACACTATTCAGCAGACGCTCAGTGCTGGCGTTGTGTCTATAAATAAGTTAGAGATATTAGGTTGAGTCGCCGTTGTCGCTCAAAAGACCTAGTGTGGGGAGGTGTCCTTATCCACTTTCGGTGTGTTCGTTAGCGCGGTCTCCTCAACTATACTGAAATGCATACGGAAGTATTCGTCAAAACGAATCATTTGAGCACAACCACAAGGTGGCTGCTGTATAGGTCCTGTTGTAATTCCTCTCATCTGTCTGCCATTTCTATCATCGGATCAGCTCTAGGTCACCTTGGTATTTGATTGTCATTAGAATAGATCTGTCTGCCGAGTTGAAATCGGTTAACGGAAAGTGGGTGAAATTCAATAGACCAAATTTCATCCCCTAATTTAGCGCGTTGCCGCCGCACAGCAAAGATTTGATTCCGCCTTCCCCTTTCCATCATCGGGAGACTACACGTGGGCTGGGGATATACGTGGGGCGCACTATAAGTTTCCGGAAAGAATAAGAAAAAATCCCATAATTGGTCAGCAAAGAAAATTTATTGTTTCTCAAAATATTCGCCGTTAGCGTTAATGCACTTTTTCATACGAATTTACCAATTTTGAAAACATTTATGTCACTCCTCTGTGACAATCTCTGAAACATATTTTTCATACTCTTCAGGTGATTTTCATCACCTGAAGAGGCTGTCCTCTTCGGGTGATGAAAATCATTGACCGCGTAACTGGTTCTCAATTTTTGGAAAAAAATAAAAGTTACAACGTGCCAGGTCGGGACTGTACGCGGGATGGCTCATAAGGTCGACATTGTTCACCTTCAAAAAAACATTTGTCTGTCTGGCCGTGTGAGAATTGGCATTATCGTGGTGCAAGATGATACGCGATTACGGTTTTTTCAGGAGTTTGTCAATAACTTCCGGCAAACAAATGGTCGTGTACCAATCACTATTCACACACAAGCAACAAAAGCCACGTCCAGTTTCATTAAAAAAAGAAGCTCATCCGCTCCACTTTGGTTGGTTTCGGCTTATCTCGAAAGACCCATACGTTCGATTGCTGCTTTGTTTTGGGATCGTAACTATAAATCCATGTTTCGTCACCTATTACTATGTCCCATACCAAATTTGACGCCCCTTCGTTGAATCTGGTAAGCAAGGCATTGCACCAAGTGACGCGATTCGTGTTTTGAGCCTCAGTCAAATTGTGTGGGATCCACCGAGAGCACAGCTTATTCACACCCAAATGTTTGTGTAGTATTGATTGTATTTGACCCATGCTTATGCCTAAAGATGCGCGAATCTCATGGCATGTCACATGTCTGTCACATGATGTTTTTGTAGTTCACAGTAGTGGACGGGTGACCATCACAAAATTCGTCACTGATTTTCACACGACCGCATTTGAATTTTGCAAACCAGCTATAAATAGTCGTCTTGCATGGTGTTTCATCGCCAAAAGCAGTTTGAAGCCGAGCGAAGCTCCGCTGAGATGTTAAATTACACTTAAAGTCGTAGAAAATCATACTACGAAAATTTTCACGAGTTAAATCCATGGTGATGTAGACAACCAATTTTTAAAATGACGCCACATTGTAAAAACAAGTGACAGTCGGATGAGACAAATGTTACAGCCAAAGAGTTCTATTCTCAAATGTTGTAATTACTTTTTAAATATTGTTTATGTAAGTGCCGAGTTCCGGAAACTTATAGTGTATATGTAGTACCGGGGTAGAGACCGTGTCCATCCCTACAGTTAACCACAACCTCGGGCGAGTCCATACCCAAGTTCAGGTACGCCAGATACGCCCACGAAGGCGTATCACTGGCGGAGGGCATCCGCCGTATCCTGGTCTTACCGGGGAGCCCGTAATTTCCCCGAACTCCCATCTCTCGGATCGGTAGATAGGAACAGGATTTGCCCTACTTGCTCTAATGCTATACAACATATTGAGGTACATTAAGTTTTATATTAATATATATATTTCTTTCGTGACTTTGGGTGTCAATTGTGGTTGTCTACATGTGTGTCCATGGCACCCGCGATACCCTAGTGCGAGGCTATTAAAAAAAAAGGGACAGACTACCACACCAATCGAATACGTAGCATCAAATTAATAAATTCTCTATATTATGAGTACAAGAGCAACGAAATTTTATCTCGGGCACTACCCAGAAAAGCCACCCTCGGAAGTAGAATATTTTCTTAAAATTTAAATGGAACCACTACTAAGGGGGTACCCCTTACCAACAAAAATGAAACATCGAACTTGGTTCACAAATGTCTGTGTACTAAAAATACAAAGTGGTATAGAGAACCTCCTCCTTTATTCAAGTTGGTTAAAAATAAATTGGCTGTTTTCGAGAGTCGGCTTCATAAAGTCATAAATTCATTTAAGATGTAATTTTATATGCTTCTATAATAAGATTCCGGTTGACATTAAAAATTTGCTAATCACGTTTAAAACAATAAATTAAATGAAAACTGGTTTTTATGATCAAATGTTTATTTTATTTTATGTAAAATTAAGTGCGTATTTAACGTGTGACGATGAGGTCGACGATGTAGCATGCACACCTAAATAATGCCTATTCACTCTCGCCTTGAAAAGGTTCAAGTTATAGCGTTCGGGGAACAAGACCGCAGGCAGGGAATTCCACTCCCTAGCCGCTTGCCATATAAATGTGAAAACGTAACGCTTCCTGCGAATCTAAGGAATATCCACAACATAGTGGTGGAACCCAAGCCTACGTCTAGTCCCGCGATGACGGAAAAGGGAAGACGGAACCAAATCAAGCCTTCCGTCGCACACTCTCCGTGATATCTCCTGTACAATACCGATACGTAGGCAACTTACGACTTTGTTCAAAGCTCTGCAGCTTCGCCTCTACTAAAACCGACTCACCTATAAGCCTCTTGACACGCTTGTCAATTGACACTTGTGACGATGTGACCTCCTTATATCGTCATCCCACCCTTTTGTCGCCTTTTCTCCGTTTCATGGCCACGTGTTTTGAATCATTCTGTAATTCCTTTGCCTCGCGATTCTGATTTTGTTTCGATTCATCGTCACTCCCTGCTCGATCGCGGCAGTGAACACGTCTTCTCGTTAATTTTTTGAACCGTTTGCCAGTTACCAAAAATCTCTCGTGCGATGAACATTTTAAAGATCATAAATATTTATAAAACTGGATTTATTACCAGTATTTCTTTACCCTTTTGGATTTTGAAGTTTAAACTCGTTAAGCAAGATGTGTGGAGGCTACTACTCTCCTGGCTACATTACAGTCCTACAGAACATCCCAAGCGGTACCAGCAGCGGTACGCGTTTTTCACACTATTTACAAAATTCAACCCCTAGAGTTCCTTGATAATTATTTTCAAGAGAATTTGCCTTACGAATGAACAGTCGCCAAGCAGTAATGTAAGCATTACTGCGTCCCGGTTTCGAAGGGCAAGAGTGCTGGTGAAAAAATACAGGCACATCGGCAGTACCCCTAAGATCTTTGCGGTTAAAAGCTCTGAGTGGCACTGCAACTGTTATGGACATCATCTATCATCAACACATTCTTACATGTCCCACTGCTGTGTATGGGTCTCCTCTCAGGCGAGGGTATTTAGGCCATAGTCCGCCACGCCGGGCCAATGCAGGTTGGGGACGCAATACGTTTTCCGAGGGTTGTCAACCTTCTTCGACGTGGAGGTTTCATTACGATGTTTTCCTTCACCGAAAAGGTGATAGTAAATTTGAAATTAAATTTCACACATAAATTCCGAGAATATCTGCTGAATAATATTTTTAGGATGATGTTGGGACTGCTTCGTTTCTGCAGTGCATCGGGGATGTTTGCAGAGTAGGAGACGGATGGTTTTGCTGCCATCCTCCGGAAAAAGACAGCATTCCTGATGCGCTGAGTGCGGGACGGCCCCAACAGCATCCTACAAACTGTGGCTGGTAGGATTACCTCTCCCATGTGTCAACGATTCATGAGGAAGGCGATTTGAAAAAGATAATGTAAAAAAATACATCTACTAACACTAATTTATAACCACTTTACTAGTTATTAATACTATCAAATTATGGAACTTATTGCTTGAAATAAAATAATTTTAATTTTAATTTAATAGGCCTCTCCCAATGCGCGTCATTTCGCCAGGTCCTCAGATCGTTGCATCCATTTGCTGCCAGCAGCAAAACGTCACTTCATCTGGCCATAGGGCCTTACACTACGTATACCGTGGTTTCCATTTAAGAACACGTTTCCCTTCGGTTATCGTTTCTTCGACAGATATGGCCAGCTCGCTGCCACTTCAGCTTGCTTTTCGACCAGCTATGTCGATGACCTGGTTCTCTGTCGGATACCTCGTTCCTTGTCCTTCAAAGAAATTCCGAGATTTTCCGGATTCCAACCCGCGGCCTACACTAGCGAGGCGCCAGATTACCACGGTTTTTTTACAAGTGTAATTTGCTTACCAATGAAATAAAGACTATTTGTCTTTGACTTAAATATACATATTTACCTAAGTATCTTCTCGATGAAGACCTTTCCAATGAAACCAGTGCCGCCGGTGATGAAAATTGTTAGGTCAGTAAGTATCGCCGCGATGCGGTCTGGCAATGAGTCCACGTTGCTCGTGTCTTCATCGTGCCCGTTTTGGGGCACCATTGTTTCTGCAACTCGAGTAGCGGTAGATCTCTTGGTTTTAAAACTAAAGAAAAGGAGAAAATGAAAATAATTAAATAAAATTGTTTATTGAATAATTTATTATACAAAAGAATAACTAAAAACGAATTATGGGAATCAATGTAAAATATAACACATATAACTAGGACAATCCTGCGTTTCAGGTAAAAAAAATCCCTGCTTGTATCCCTGCTTTTCAAGGCAATGGCTCAATCCAAAATTGACCCTTTTTTGTCTTACTACTGAGATTTGTTCAAAAAATGCAAAATTTTATTGTGATTGGGATACCAAGCTTTTCATTGGTTAGAATAATCACATGACAACTTTGGGATGGTTTGCGATTGGTCAACTTAGAGTGGCAGACGCATTATTCAGTTTTTTTTTCAAGGCATTGCCCTGATAAATTAGATGCTTTTGAGATAGGCCACTATTCCAGAAAGCCAGCGAATAACATGAAGTAGAAAATACGAATTGATAACGTAACAAAGCCTGACACGAGCGAGTAAGACCCGTGTACTGAAAGGAAAATATAAAATCTATGTTTTTCTCAGAATCTATAAAATATTTTTTCTTTTTTTTATTATTACCTTGGGGAAGAAAGCTTAAAGGTGGAGTTGTAACGAATACTTCATTACTATTTGGCATTCGGCTTATTCGGCCTGTTTTTTGCTATCGGCCGAACACCTACCATTATTCATTTATTTTCAGGTTACAAAAGACCCATAAATATATACCTTATAGACTAACATATTAATATATAAAACACTGACACTATTTATTTATTTACACGCATGGACCGCGACGTATGACGCAATGTGGGTGACTGGTAACCGTCCTCGGAATCGCCGGAATATGACTTGACGGTTGACAAATGTCGAGTTGGTAGTCTCACCACCAGTGAACCCTGAGTGGCAAAACGGGGGCTTTGTCACTCACTGGGCAAGGGTTCACGGGTTGGTTGGCATGCCAAGTATTCCCGACATGCCACTAACGACGGAGTGGAGAAAGTCTCCCAGAGGTGGGTCCGCAGTCGCGGACAACCGCAGGCGGGGCCGTGGATCGTAAACCACGTGGCCACAGCCCCGTCTCATGCGGAGTGTGGGAATACCCGGGGGTTTTTAGTGAGTAGGAGTCTCACATAACCACCGCGCCTCCCAGTGACGCGGTGGTATCCATGACGGATTTTCCCCCGGAAAGAAAAGTCGGTAGTCTCACCACAAATGAATAAAAATATCACTTATGGCGGGACTCCAACTGCTCCACCCTCAGGGAAGCATTGGCTTTCACCCGTATGTACTCCACAACATCCGCAGACTTTTTATTAGGGTGGCTTCACTCATCACTGCGACCAATAGCTGATCTATTATGATGACCACCACGTACGCCCAGACGAGGAGATGCAGAAGAGTACCATCCGCCTTGACAGAAATCTACTCTGTCCAATATTGGCATTTTTGCGTATGCGTGTGTAAATTATTTAAACACAATTATGCTCAAAAAAAGTGCGTGACAGATGTTGCGATTGCTTGGGAGCACCGATGGTATCCTGAGGATGACAGCAGAAAGAATAGACATGGCTATCTTTCGTAGGTTCACCGTATTGCACGTGGACATATAATAATAATGTAATTCAATTTGACGCATGGTAATTGTGTTCCTCGTTTCTATTAACTTAGTTCATAAGATTGTTACTAACAAATATGGACTAATTGGTCCGAGATTAAATGAATTTGAACTTGTATATTTGACATGTGCTTGTACAAACCACATTTCCTTGTTAAATTCTAGAAAGTAAGATTGTACGAAAGTGAATTATTATGTAAATAATATGCTGAACATATATTCTAAGTTGGAGAGAGCACATTTTTTCGCTTATTTTTTTTTTTAATAACACTAAGAGACGGTACGAACAAGTCTTGTGGTAAGCGACACACCTGTCCCTAGAGACATAAGTTAACAAGTCCCATGTGCCTGTAATTTTACCAGTACCCTTATCATTTGAAACCGGACCGCAGTAATGTTTATGTTACTGCTTGGCGATAGACTACTTCCCTGGACGAACTCTTTCACAAGGAGCACTACTCCTACTAAATTTATCATATATGTCATAAAGATCAAAGGAAATGTAACATAACTAAGTTATTCTTATAAGACATTTTAAAGTGGCAAATCAAATGAAAACTACTTACTTATTACGTGGTTTAGTCATAACTATAAATTCTAACAAAACCATTCAAGTATTTATTATTTGCAAACCAGAATATAATTATTTTTTTAAAGTTAATCAAACTGAAGTGAAATAATTACTTTATTCAATTAAGATGTCATAAATTTAAATAATAAACATGAAAATTGAATTACCTCATTTGTTTCACTGTATGTACAAAATTATTTATTATAACTAAATAATAATATTTAAGACTTCAACTTCTCATCGTATTTATAGAGTTTCATTAGAATATTTACCTGTTATATATATTTTTTTCAATTCTTCAATGGCAGCGGCTTCATTTGCTGAGCTCTTCGCTAATTTCACGATACTGAAACTGAAGCTTTGGACTTCTCAGGACTGCCTTCACTCATAGATTTTTCTGGTTCCTGGGATGTTTTCTGTACAATGCACTCCACCGTGAACTAAACATCTTTCAACTAAATAAGTTCGAATGTAAAAAGAAGTTGGCAAACTGGTTGCAAGAATTGAATTACGATGAAACTGAAGCTTTGCTTCATCCGATTGCATGACTCAAGGACCTATTTATTTATTTATTTTTGGAGCTTTGGGTAGAGTAGGATCTCTATATGTATATATATATATCTCCGTAACTACACACACGCGAGCACATACACATACACACACACACACACATACACAAACACACACATAATACAACACGCACTCCTGGTCAAATATCTTTTACGTGCAAAAAAGTTTTTAAATTTAATTTTAATTTAAGTTTGATCTTTTAGGTGTATATAGTTCAATAATGTCAAATGTATTTTTTCACTATTTAAATGTTTTTCTTTTATAAACAATGACTCTTAGTAATACCTTAAGATTGTCATGTGTCATTTCCAAGGGTGAGAGCCTGGTGACTTGTAGTACAGGCGTTAAGCCTTTAACAAGCACCAGCTCCCAAAAATAAGTTATTGGATGTATCTTAATTAC